CCAGGCTGGATGAGGCTCTTGAGCAGCCTGGTCTAGCAGGAGGTGTCCCTGAGCACTGCAGGGTGGTCAAAACTGGATGAACCTTAATGTCCCTTCCAACTCAAACCATTCTATGATTTCTAGGGACAAATTAGTCTACCCTAACACAAAGAACAAGGGTCTTTAGAGGTCTTTCTCTCCATACCCTTTGGAGGACTGCAAATGTGGTATAATTTGCTACCTCAAGCATTTAAAACCTATGGGTGTTGCAAGTGCTCTGCCTTGAAATATCACATGAGTAAGTTTGTAACACCTATCACCTGTATTTTCAAGATGTTTGTGTCAGGCAGGATAAAAAAATCTGTGCTTCAAACAGCGTATCAGGTTAATATCTATATAAGCAAAGCTGTGGAAGAACTGATCTATTTCAAATGGAGGCAAAAATCCATTTTCTAATTTTGAAAAGAGAATTAAAAAAAAAAAAAATACTGCCATTAAAGAGAAGGTGAGAGGATGACATTTTAGGAACTCTGATACCAGTATTATGACCATGAATTAGTTTCACTTTGCTCTTAAGATCAGGGAGGTAAATGACCTGACACTGCCATGTCTAGAACACTATCTTTCATTTTTATGCTTTTTGACCCATAAAGTCAATAGAAGATGTCCCAGAATTATTCCAGCAGAAGTTTGCAATACAGTTGTGATACAATTGAATGAAAGCCCCAGGAGAATTGAACTTTTCACATACATGCAAAACCCCACGCTGACTTTGGCAAGGCCAAATCTATGCTGCTTCCTGGGCCTTTTGTTTCATGTGGTAATGTTATCACTAGTACCTGGCATGAAAATAATCTGAGTTAAATGGAAGTCAGTGCCCTTCAAAGCTAAACCCCACAATGTTTGCTTGTTAGACTGGCTAAATTTTATTAAGTATGGCATTTCAAATTGTACTTGGGGTCAAAGACAAATGATTTTTTTTTCTTCTAATTTAATCAGTATGAAAGAACTAAGAAATGTCTAACTTTCCAACATGAACAGAGATCAGTTTCTTGGGCACCTGTATCAAACTCTAACAAAATTGTTGTCTTCTCAGCTCAGTTACACTGCACCTCTTGATTTAAACTACTCACATACTCAGGCAATATCTGTAACAGTAAACCCTCAGTTTCTATTTGAAAAAAACAAAATACAAAAATACTGTTACTTGTTTATAAAATAATCTTGTCTCAGAAGTAATATTTTTCAACAAAATAATTTATTTTCATGTAGCATGCATTTACTTTTGCTGATTCTATTTAACCTAAACATGTATCATTTTAAACTCTGGTCAATTATATAGTAAATGACAAGAATAAAGAAAAAAATTTGGTCTTATCTGTGTATCTAAATTAATTACAATTGTACAACATATAATCAGAACAGTGGGTCTCAATGTGAATCTGAAACCACTGAACAAAAGGAATCTTAAGCTTCAAATTAAATGAAGCAAATGCCAATCTGACAGGCTGTGTAAAACAAATGTGGCATTCACTCTGTAGTTTCAAAACACAGCTGCAAACAGGCTAAGTCAGTGGTTACAAAAAATCTCTCATTGTATAAGTATCATAGACATTACTATGAATGTATACCTGAATATGGGGAATTCAAAATTAATCAGAACAAATATGTTCATTTAATTTGATACACAAAAAAATCTCCACAAAATCCTTTAATTAGGTTGGTTATATACCACAACTTTTCTTTCCCCAAACTAAAAATTTCCCCAGAGATGTAATACCTCCTTCAGTCTTATATTGATATAATTCAGTATCTCAGCAACTAGAACCACACTTACCTGTTCAGTAAATGAATCTTAGACACCTAATTCAAGTCCCCTGGAAGGCATCTTATTTGGGAAGGTTTCTATTAAAGAGCATTTGAGCTCTGCTGCTGCACATTATTTAAGCCTGAGTTTAATAGTCAAAGTGCCTGTAGTTAAACACAGCCTTGTATGCAATACAAAAAAAAAAAAAATTGCCTAAACAAAACCAACACCAAACAAAAAGAAAACAAAACCAAAACAATCTCCACCTTACATGAAATGGATCCTCACAGGATGAGAATTATCACAAGCTGTAATAGCACTTTTGATTCAAGCCACATACAAATAGTCTAACCTTAAAGTTCTGGGAGCAATTTTAAAATGTCAAAAGGTATGTCAAATTCTTAATAACCAAGTCTACATACTTAATTGTCAACAGCCAAAATACACAAGACAAGAGGGTTATATTAATTCCAGCTCAAACCCAAATTAATATGTGCTGGAAAATAATGTTTCTTCCTCCTTAACTAGGGAACAGTGCTTGGTTGGACTGTATTTTAACTATATACTTATTTTCTAGAACACCTACTACATTGTTCATTTTAGCTTTATTTTCAAAGCAGTTCAGCACAGGAGATCTCTGCAAGACTATCATGTTACACCATTGATCCTCACAAGGAGAAGACTCAATTTGCTCAGTAATAAGCAACCTGGGTCAAAGGCCACGACTGAGAAAAGACAAAGGGCATTGTTTACACCTGTGTCAATCAGAAAAAGCTCTACTGAAGACCATTGAGTTATATTTGACTCAAATCCATATGAAAAACTTCTGTGTTTGCTGAATCTGAATTATGTGGCAGCCAGGAATTCACATTTATTAGTCTGTACCAGGAAGCATCACAGACTGCTACATTAAAATACTAGTTTGCTACACTGGCTTTTTAATCAAAACTAGGTTTTATTCTCTTATTGGCAATTCAAATTCATGTCACTGCTTCAGCCTGCTCACTTGCACTGTGTTACCTAGTGTGCTGCACAGTACGAAGTAATAGATTTTGTAATTTTGGATAAGAGAATTCATCTGAGGGAAGGAAACAGTAATTAGTGTCCTACATTTTAAAGAAAAAGAACCGAAATTCTACCTCCTCCAACTATTTGCAACTACAAGCAAACTTTTGGATATGCAAGACTGTGTATTTCTTGACCTTTGATGTTCAAAGAACACTTCTAACAATTAAAAGCATATTTCTGACTACACAGCCACAAGATGATTTACAAAAAAGGCTTGGGAATTTCAATTTAGCTTGTTCAGGGAGCTGGCTGGAAGCATTGCATGGAATACAACCCCAGAGATTTGTCCAGGAGAACTGGCTTCCTTTCAAGGACCATCTCCTCCAGCTTCAAGAAAGGTCTTTCCTGACAAGCTTGAAACCAAGTAAAGATGGCATGGTTGGACTTAGGAAAGCTAAGGCCCTTCTGAAGTGAAATTTGGTGAAGGACATGAATGTCAACAAAAAAGGGATTCTATAGGTATATTGGCATCAACAGGAAAGCTACAGAAGATGTCTGCCTGCTGCTAAATGGGCTATGGGATCAGTGACAAAGAATACAGAAAAGATCAAGGAATTCAGTGTCCACTCTGCCTCAGTCTTTTAATGGTAGGATTTGCCTTCAGGAATCCCAGGCCTCTGAAACCAGGAGGTCTGAAGCAAGAGAGACTTAACTCTGGGCAGATCATGGATCAGGGTGGGAACACTTAAACAAGCCAGACCTACACAATCAGTGAGACCTGATGGGATGCACCGTACATGTGGAGTGAGCTGGTCGATGTCTTGTTTATCTTGACTTTAAGGCTTCTGGCCCTTTACCTTTCTTATAGGCAAACTGGTGAACTCTGGATGAGATAAACTGGCAGTGGGGTGTACTGAGAACTGGCTGCACCCTAAGCTCAAAGGAGATATCAGCAGCACAAAATGCATCTTGACAGTCACTAATGGTGCTCCCCTGTGGTTGGTACTGGGATCAATACTATTTAACAGCTTCACAAATGAGCCAGAGGATGGGGCAGAATGACCCTCAGGAATTTTGCAGCTGATACAAGACTGGGAGGAGCTGTTGAGACACCAGATGGTTGTGCTGCCATTCAGAGGGACCTTGACAGACTGAGAAATGGACATCTGTACTGCTTTGGTTCAGATGTGGCATGAAAATGTGATGAGCCATTTCCCAAATGGGGATCTACTGAACTGACACTGTATTGTCATAGGAATATATTGATTACACCTAACTGATCAAGAAATAAATGGAGGAGAGTGAGGACAGATCATTTAATATGAAGAATTTATATCCAACATTGTTTAATTCAGTACCAATGTAAGAATGCAAGCAACACAGAGAAGACTTCTTGTTGGTTTGTAAATTTTAGTAGACATGGAAAATGTAAGACAATTTATCTGAGTGACGTGGTCTACCAGAGACCTGTAAATGCAATTTCAGAAGCTATCTTTCATGACAGCCACTCAGTAGCAGCAGAAAGTTGAGAAGTCATAAATCATGTTTCAAACACATTCTATTGTTCAAAGTGACAAATCATAGTCTTTCAAATTTATACAACCTTAAAATAGTATTTTCTTCCACCACAAGACTAGCAAAATTTTTAGGGCTCTTCTGAATCAAACTATTCACACTTATTTATGAGCATTCTGAAGTTTGAATATTATGAGGCTTAAATATTTTTCATACCACAAACATTTACTCTTACATAACAATGAGACAAAATAAGAAGAAGCATTGACAAAATGGAGATCAATAACTTTGATCTCCATTAGTCTATATGGATCTTCTTCCGAAAGGTATTCATTTGAATTTATCTTACAATTAAACGAATAATCCTCTGGTAACCTTATTGATTATAAACACAACCTGAGCTGGCCCCCACAGGTCAGGATGACTAATGTGAAGATATAAAAGTCAGAGAAGGGATTCATGCCCTCAGCAGTATCAACAATTCCCCTTGGCCATGATGACAAATAAGTGCTAATATATGTCAGAAAAACACAGGATTTTTTAAGTGATGTGAGGTTATATTGTTGTAGCACACAAGTGAAACAAGTGCTTTAAGGACACATAAAGGTGAACCTACTATATGATCCAAAACTTTAAATGAGGTATTTCTCAACCTGTTTATGTTGTCACTAAATATAGGGAGTCCCAAAGCTTACTGTACCAAATTTTTTATTATTTCAAACAAACTTCTGTACAAAAACATCAAAGCAGGCCAAGAAATCCCGTGACTTCACAAACAGCACATGACAACTCACAGTATGCTTTAAGGTTTACATTTTTATTATACAAGTGACAAATAGTTTTTCTCTGGGCTACTTAAAGATAAGACTTCATTGTTTGACAAAAAATTGCAGGTAAGCATATATTAACTTCAGTTACCAAAGCTCAACAGAATGGCCTGTCATCCACCTAATTTACCTAACTGGAAGTGACTATGAACAAAGCAGGATTTTCCCTAACATACATTTTTTAAATGTCCCCCCATTAAAAATGGAGCCTGTAAACAGTGGATTTGCTACTGTGAAAAAAAGTGTGGTCATTGCTTTCAGAAAAAGAAAAAGATCTAATGTGAGTGAGTTCTACCTCTCTCCCCAACAACATCATAGCAACCGGCTGCTGCACCTGCAGGGGTGTGACATGAATGCTGGAGTTGTGGTGCTGTCCAGCATCAGGACATGCATGACATTGGCACCTGTGGGTTCTGATCGGGTCTGAGAAACCTCACAGGGGTTGCTCTGCTCAGAAATAAACTCTCAAGTTAATCCCTACTCCAGAGAACTTGTGACATTAATACTGTTTAAGGACTGAGTTCAATGACACAGTTTGTCACAGTGCAGCCGAGTTCCAGCAGACCAAATGCATCTTCAAAGTCTTAAGGTAATTTTTTAGAAGAGATGTGCATGAAAATTCCAGTGAAAGCACACAAACCCTGATTTATCTATAGGGGGATAAGCAAATGCAAATCTGAATCTGTGCACAAGCACTGGAGTTTCCACACATACATGCAAGCAAAGTACACAAAATCAAACACATTTTCTGAACGTGACCTCTGCAAGAATATGTACAGCAACTGCAGACCACCCAGTAGACACACATAACAGAGCATGAGCACTTTGCTGCTTTTGGCAAAGTATTTCTATTCCATTAACTGGAAAATTTACCAGAAAGTAAGACAAACAACTCAGCAAGGAACTTAACTTTTTGAAGTATCAATCACATCTCAAAAGCCAGTGAAGAGCAGTCAGCTGATAAATATTTCTGTGTTGATTCTGAGTCATCTAATGAATAACACTACCAGGAACATAATGGAGTTCCTAAGAAAAGATCAGCTCTTAATTTTAAACCATCCCTAGTCTGATGCAGCCGATATGACACCAGGGAAGTTTGCTACAGAAGAGTGTACTAGTTTAGATCAGCCAAAAAATTACTGGCTAAAGCTGTCTGGTAGTTAATGTTCAGTGTGATATATTTACACTGACAAACCTTTTCCAGTTAAGTCAAGGCATTAGTATTTTCCCTTTCCTTTCTAAATCTAATAAAATATACAGAGTTTTCAAAATCTATCAATGATCTTTAAGCATATTTTCTCTTCATTTATACTGCATCTGAAAAAGGATATTAATTTCCTAGGCTGTTGAAAGGTATGGGTTATACTTAATTAAAAAGGTAAAATTACCTGTTTGAAATACATTTTTGGATGCCAGACAGCACTTAATCCATAAAATCAGGTGGATCTCCACTTATTACAGGAAAGACAATGCATTTTATGAGTAATGAACATTCAGGTATTCTCCTATTCATACTAGTTTGACAAGATCCTAAAACTGACCAAAAAACTGTGCACATGTTCTTCAAAACATACCAAATGAATTTTGATTTCTCTTATATTAACTTTCTTCTTCTTTAAAGTTCCTTTTCTGTGGTACCTTTGACATTTCAGTTTGATTTCCATTTTGTCTTCACTACTACTTCTCTGATAGAGAAGGTGTTTAAGGATTAAAATGCACAGATAAACTGTCTTAACTGAAGTATCTAAGTAAAAAAGTATTTTAAAAGTCAAAAGATAAAGGCTGGAATAAGAACTTAGGTTGCACTATATAAAGTCAGTCAGGTTATGAACAGATTTATATATTTTAGCAATGTGAAGAAAATGGTTATGTAAATACACACAAGTATTAACATCAAACTGTATTAAATTATGTAAACATACACATCTTCTGTGATCAATACAAACATCTACTTGTCTGTGGGTACTACTGCAGCATAGCTCGAATTTGTTTTGAAGTAGATTCATCATTCAGGTGTTTTGTAGTGAACCTAGAAATTATAAGTTAAAACAATAATTTATAAAATGAACAGAGACAGGAAAAGTCTGAACACTTGAGCCTGTTTTTGAAATCAGCACAGTTCAGTTACACAAAGGAGGAATTTACATGTTCCTCTACCGATCACTGGAATTTAACTGGCAAGAATCTGGTGCTCTTTATCTTCTAAATACCCTATGCAATAAATTATTCTCTGCTAAAAGGTGGAGAACTGTGGCTAAATCCTGTCTGGTATCTGTCTATGACATTGTCATAATCTTGGGTCAAAATTATCTCTTATTTTTTCTAGTTAAAACCCTCAAAATAAGCAAAATAATGAAAAGACATAAGAAATATGGTAAATACTAAAATCACTTAGGAATTTAGACTGAATTTTGGCATAATCTATGACTTTAAGCAGTTTTCTTAAATATTCTGAGAGGACTGAAGAGCCTTAGTGTGTTTTTTTCCATTTAAATCCAAGCATTCTCCACTGTTTATGCTAATAGGGAGACTGATTTTAACATAAGCTTGAAACACACTTGATACCTGTACATTTAACTCCACATCAACTTTAATTCAAAAGATATGATAAGCAAGTGTAGAAGTGCAGCTCTCCCTCTATACAAGCATTCAACAGCTACAGAACTCAAAACAGTTCTGAAAAACTTGGGTTTGACAACATTCTCAGCTTCAGAGAAGTATCAGACCCCTCTGTGTCTTCCTTCCCAAGTCAGCACCATGAACAGGATTGGGATTTAGGATGCTGTTTTCTTGAAGCTGAGTAATTTAGCAAGATTAAAAAAAAAAAAAAAAAGTCTTACTGAGATGGAAAGGGAGAGGAAGAAGGGAAGTACTTAGGGTTTGAGAAACAGAAATCTGACAATCTGACACTTCATTTCTAAAATGTTCTATAGATTCTGGGGTATTTTATATAGTAAATCTTAGCTAGGATATACTGTTTAAAATATTAACATTTATTGTTTATTCAAATGAAATGAAATGGGAAGAAATTAATATTTAAAAAACCCAGGTGACGAAGAGGAAACCTGAGAGAATAATCTTATTAAAGCAATGTTCTAAAGTGAAGAATCTTAAATATAAGGAGATTGGGAGAAAAACAAAGAGGAATTTTCTACGGCTGAATCACACATACCTGAGAGCATTCAGAAGTCCTTCCACAGAGTCAGGTGGTTGTTCCTTTAAAACTTTTATGCATCCCTTCATCTGGGAACAGAAGCATGCCACTATTGAACAATAATATATGAATTGCACTAGCTGAAAACAAGGAAAAAATTCACCATATACCGGTAGGTTTCTTTTCTTACTGAGTTTTAATGCTGCTTTACATGACACAATAAAAGCATTACAACTTATTAAAAATTATCTCCAAGTTAAAAACTTAACTTTGGAGAAAACATCTACTTTAATAAGTGTTTGTAGAGAGTAAATTATATATCAAGTGTCTATATTTTAACTTGCACACTGCTTCTTCAAGCCAAGTAAAAATTACAAAAATCAAAACTATCTGATACAAGCTGAAAAAAAAGAGATTTTGTGAGTTCTGTGTCATTGCTGTTAACTCTAAGAAGAGATGTTTCAACTCTGACTTATTTTTATGTTTGCATACAAGGAAGTAATTTTGAGTACTCAGTTTTTAGTTGTAAACCTAACCAGTGACAACTTATTATTTGTTTCATAACTAGTGGTTAAAAATTTAATCTAAGAAGTCCACGGTTCCATGGTGTTGATTTTAACACCACACTGAATGAACATCTTTGTGGAGACTGTAAAAAATAGGCTGAAACTCTGTCCAAATTTACAAAAGGGGAAATGAAGCAGAGAAAGCAGGAGTAGAACTCATTTGACCCATTGTACAGACTCCCTAGCTAGTCAATAGAAAAATAAGGAATTCTTCTAACCTTTTCAGAATATATCTTCCCCAGTAGTACTTTTTTCTTCCCACTGCTATGAAGACATCGAATCTAGCTATTCAGAAATTAACCTAGATTAATTCCATCTTATTCAAAATGACAAAGACACAGCTGAGTCAAGATGTGAATCCTTTAATTTTCCAAGTCACATTGGAGTGCTAAATCTACATGTAGAAATTGCTTTGCAGCTGAAGAGCACCTCTGCCTTATAAAGGAAGCAGGTGATGAAACACTTAATTTAAGTCAGGGTCCCAGCAAAAATTAGTCAGAAAATGTAGCATCCCTGACAGGGAGCAGCCCAACAAACACTGCTCACTGCTCAACTGGTTCATTTCTACCTGGAAAGTGTAACTAGCTTTGCAAATACCAGATCAGATGAGATTGTCAGGCTAGCACAGTTATTTTTCCTAAATTAGAGAAGCTCAAGTCTATGTGCACATCACTCAGTACCGGTTTACATGCCTCAGCAGGTCTGCTCAGACCAGACCAAGCCAAAGGGCATAAAAATTCAAACAACTATTTTTCATTTCTGTTAGAATCAGAATACCTAAACCAAGTAGGATAATGTTGGGGTTTAGGATTCTTCCTTTTGTTTCTTTCTCTCAAGGAATTTTTCTCCCATATGTGTTGCTAGGAGACAATAACGACTGCATACTCAAGAGAGACGAAAGTTGCCACAGCTCAGGGGAGGAGAGCAGCTGGCTACCCTCTCTTTTTACCTGGGTGTTTCTCTGGGAAAAGCAGAGATACAACGAAAATTGGATTGGGAAAAAGGGGTTGGGTGCAGCCCCCAGCTCTCTTGTACTCTGGGCATTCAGAGGGGAGAGCGGCTGCAGTCGCTGTGAGAATTCATCACCATTGCAAGGCTCCATCTCATGCTGCCTTTCTTCTACCGGGAGTGGCTGTTGCACTGGGACCTTATCAACACCACTCCTTATTAACACCCCATCTAAGCAAAAAAAGTACTCTTCCCATCTGCTGGGGTGCCTCAGGGCAAACCCCAGCATGCCAAGCCTGCCTTTCCCCTGCCCTGCCCGGAGCCAGGCTGTGGCTGCCCAGTCCCTCTGTTCTTTTGGCTGCACTGTAGCCCTGCACGCCCTGCCTATCGGGGTGCAGGGCGGTTCCAGCTACAGCTGCAGAGTTTCTGATACAACTCCTCCCTCCACCACCCCAAGACTTGTGCTCCTTCCTGCCGTTCCAGCCTGCCGCTCCCGAGGAGCCACTGGGGCAGTGGGATCGCTGTCCCTGGGGCTTTGTACAGATCGCTTTTTACCCTCCCGCCATTGCCGTGTGCTCCCGAGCCCGCGCCACAGCCCCCCCTGCAGCCGCGGGGGAATCACCGCACCCGCCCTGCCCGCCGGGAGCCAGCAGCGCCCCTGCTGGCCGTACCCGGAACTGCACCCAAGGGAACAGCGCTTGGAAAGCAGGAACTGTTTGTTGGGTTTTCTGGGATTTTTCTTTTGTTTGTTTTTGCTGCCATTGTTGTTGTTTGCTTGCCTTGTTATACACATATACACTAGTAAAGAACTGTTATTGCTTTCCCTGTATCTTTGCCCTGCACTTAGTTTCAAAGTTATAATAATTCAGAGCGAAGGGGTCATACTTTCCATTCCAAGGGAGGTTCCTGCCTTCCTTGGCAGACACCTGTCTTTCAAACCAAGACAGATGTCTAAGCTAGGAGACTGCCATTAAGAGCTTAAAATACAGCCTCCAGTCTTGAAAGAGTAAGGAAAGGCTAATATACTCCACTGTCCCTGAAATTATCTTGAAATGGCTTGAATGGCTGAAGTGAATAGTTTGTAGAAAAGAATTGTTTACCACAGTAAAACAAACTCATAATCTGAAATGTTAGGAGATTTTTTGAATTAAAAAAAAATCATGGAGCTAATTACACAAATCAAGATTTGGGACCATGTACTCATTTTTTAAAACTGAGTCGTACATCCCCTGCCTCCCATTTACACCTACGTAACCTTCCTGCATGATGACAGGGCTTTAGGATAAACGTGAGAAACAAAGTACACACAATGTACATTTGATCCTATCAGAATTTCATTTGTGTTGCCTCTGTAGGCAAGAGACTGAACCACCATTCAAGAAATCTGCATTCAAGTCCCAGGCTCTATCTGTTTCATGACCTTGAGCAAATCTATTCACCTCTGTGAAAAATCTTTCCCTCTGTAGAGAGTCAAAGAGGAGATGTGGCAAAATTCTGGTATCCACAGATGCAAAATGCTAAGGAAGACCCAGTGTCATGGAGAGCAATAATATATGGTTTTTTTCTTCTCTTTTGAAGAAGTCTCTCATGTAAATCGAAAGACTTGGCATCTTTTTCATTATTAAAAGCTTATTTCTGCTGAAAGAAGTGGTGTGTGAGATTTAGGTTTGTAAAAACATGTAGAAAAGACAAGAGTACTCTTTTCATGTGTGCCTGCAATTTCTCAAATGGAAAAATAAGACTGATTTCTCTGTGACTGGCCACGCCAAAGATAAAACTGAAGGGTCATTATCAACATTACAACAGTAACATTTCAGTTCTGTTACTTCAAATCTCAGACAAAGCAGAGACAACATTGAATATCTACTTATTTACAAGAGAACTACTGCCAAAGATGAGCATTTCCACAGAACATATTCCAGGCTAAGTGTAATTATACAGTTGGCAAAAAAGCAGAGGTAACTAAGAAAAATTATTATCTGTGTCTGTAAAAAAATAAAAAGGAGTAAAGCTGGTCCTTATTTTATTTTCAAACAAACTGATGTATTCAAGAGCACAGGTGAAGACAAATTCTAAATTGCCATTCAAAAGTAATTAAAATTATTTCTACCAAGCATAAGCTTGTGCTGAAAAAGAGCTGCAGACTAGTACTCAAACCTACAGAGTATTAAAGAAAGGCTTCTCTTACATCAATCTTTGATGTCTTTGAGAAAGCTCCCACAGGATGAACGTGGTCGTACAGGATAATAACTCCCACCATCACTCGCATGCAGAACATAAGGGTCTCTTCACTGGTGAATCTACTCCTGTACTCTCTGGAAGACAGAACAAAAGAAATAGACATTCCAGACCTTTTACTAGACAATTTTAAAAACTATACTGGGAGTGCGTGAAATCTGAACCAGAAGTAGAGTATATTTTAGGGTTGCAGATGCACATTAGTAAGACTCTGAATATCAGTGAATTCTGTAAGCCTGTGCCAATTTACAAGAATGGTTAGAGAGCAGATAGATGTAAACCTCTCATCATACCCATGCACAGCTGAGATCCTCAAAATGTATGTGATGATGGCTACATAGAAAACTTAATGAAATATAATGGAGACTGATCTGAAACACTTCAGTTTAATCTCAGAAACACCACATGCCAGGACCTCAAAGGAAAGCCACTGCTTTTGCTTAAATTCCTACTTTGGAATAGTCCAGTGGGACTCAAGTTCAACAGCTGGGAAGTTCAGGGCTTCACCAAGATTGATTGCAACAGTCATGCTCTCTCTCTCTCTCTCTCTCTCTCTCTCTCTCTGTGTGTATTGGAGTACCTCTCAGTCTACAATAACTTCAACTTTTATTCTTCCACAGCATTGTAACATGAACAGACTTAAAGGTGACAGAAGTTTTGATGTGAAAATGCCTGATTAACCCACAATTAGAATTAAATATCAGATAATCTTCTAGATGACTCACAACTTTTTTCTCTCCTCTTGCCAAAAAAAGAGCTGACTCGTAAGGCTACTTTTCAATTACCACTTCTATGATGTCTCAGGATTGTGAGATGAGTCCTACCCCTACAGACACTCCTCCAGAATCTTCATGAACAAGCACAAACCTCAGGAGTTCTACCCTTTACATGGCTCCATGAACAAATGACTCATAGGCAGAAAGACTACCTTGACTCTATCTTATATGTGTTTTCCAGTTGAAGAGACATCTAACCTAAAATATACTCCACTAAATGCATAGCAAAATAAAGAAACCTACTGGCTATTATTGCCTACACTAGCAGATATGAACACAATTGTACAGCTGAATACATTTATATGAATGAAAATTCATACAGCTGACTTTTTTCCTATCTAGAATAAGATGGCTGCATCCAAAAAAAGATCTATTTAAATGATCCTTGAAATAGCCCCTGTGTATTTGCTAAAGTACTGCCTGGAAGAGCCAAAATCTTGCCCTCTGTGTGTTAATAATTGAGCAGCATGGGCAAGCAGGAGGCCTTTTGCCCTGGTTAGACAAGACACAGACACTGAAGCCTGTGAGTGCATAAGATTACTCCACTGTATTTTAACCTTTTGTGAAATGCAGGCTGACCATGTAAGCTCTCCCCAACAGAACTCAACACTGACTAATGAAATATGTCATAAGGTGATAAGAACAGGAGGCATGGCTTTCTAACACCAGGCCATGCTTTTTATACAAAAGAAGTAACAACTTAAGGCAAAGATACAGGAATTCACCTGGAAAAGAATGTATTATCCCAGGGGCTAAATAAAATATAATTTCTGTCATACAAACCCCCCAAGATTTAAGATAAAACTTACGGCGTTTCCAACATGACTTTACATACACTGGCCATAGTACTAAGACAGTCCGTTGTATTTTCAATTGGTAATGTTTTGTTCTGGAAGGGTAAGAAAAAGGCAGTGTTCAGTAAACTATCTTGTAAAATTAAAATCAAGAATGTCTGTGTTAGACCTTTCTCCCCCTTTACATACTTCTGATACAAAATGTGTTGTTGCATTACTGAGGGTTTTCAGCATTGGTGTGGCCTCTGCATAGAACAGGGACATCCTGTTGGCCATTTCATTGTTCACTTCATTCTCAATGTCTAGCTGATAAAAACAGGAGAAAAAATAGTCAGTAAAGCTCTTTAAAATCTTGCCAGCAGCAAGAAAAAGATGCAGTACATGCTCATGTCAGAAAGCAGATTGTTACTTGAATAGTCCTCTCTAATCACTTCATCCGGACTGCTGATTAACACTCAGTGGGAAGGAAAGAACATGACAGCTACTGAATCGAAAGCAAAAACTTTACCAAAAATGGCATAAATGCATCCTGACAAATAAATACCTCACTGCATGCAGCACATCAGAGTTTATTTACTTACATGCATGTTGTTTATTCTGTTGCGACTTATTGTCCGCCTGTAATAACTGAAGTCATTCTGAATTGCTGGGTTTCTCATCTTCCAGGAAGAGAAACAGGAAATAATCAGTTTTGGTTCAAAACACACAGCAACAATCAACATATACTGAAAGACTTTATTAACCTTAAGTTCATCAAAACGAAGAGTAAAATGTAAGATTTCTGCAAACTCTTTTGCTAGAGCCTGTTCCCGTTCCAGGTGCTGAGTTGGAGTGTAGGGAGGGCATGTCAAGGATTCCAGTAAGCTCTGCAGGGCTTTCTCTGAATAAAAATCAGAAGCATTAATTGTAGTCAGTCCACACCAAGTTTTAGCTACATATCTAAAAATACTGCATTTGAAGGAAAGAAACCCTCCAAACATGCCAAGCCCTAAAGATGTTTTTTCTTACTATTCTGAAGTGAGAAGCATTAATTAAAGACACCTGCCTCTTCAGGCACTGCCATTTTCTCTCCATTTTGTATCATTGAATTATTTTCCATTTTTGTCAGCCTTTATCTGGGATCCTTATCAAAAATTCTAGAGGAGGCATTTTTCTTGCATTCAGATATTCAACACTTTCATCCTCCTCAATTAGCCATTAGCTCAGTATAAAGATTATTCTGGCATCTCTATTACTAAAAGTGTACTCTTAGGCACTGATAGCAATATAAATCAGCTTCTGTGCCTGTAATTACTAGCATAACTCAAAAAGTGAAAGACATAGTTAGAGGATGTTGTAGAAGAAACCCCTTGCACTAGGAGCCCTCTCACTTCATACATGTATTTTCATTCCAGTGTCCTAATTCAAAGAGTAATTACATCACCTTCTGTGTTTGTTGGGATGACAAAGTGAGTGTACAACACATCCAACTTTGGATTTTCACCCTGTGAGAGAGTTTATTGATACACTTTCCCCATTATCCCTGCTTTTAAAAAGTCTCAAAATATGACTTCCTTACATTCCTTTAAAGCTCCAGGGTATCCAAATTACAAAAAATAAATTGCATTAATCCAACATGGACCAGAGAAGTGCAGAAATGTGACAGGAAATAGAGAAAAACAGTGTAGTTTTATAATGTTTTTTGCTTGTATGCTATTTAGGTAATATAGACAAACTAACAAAGTATGAAATTAAGATTGAAGAGATGCCTTGATAAATGCAATTACTGTTAAATGCCCATTGATATCAAACAGAAATAATATTAACTCTAAAAGTCTTTTAAAAAGTTTGTGGAAAGACAAAATTTCCTCTTTCATTATATATAAAAAACATATAAAATGGAGATACTAAAACAGGGCTCACCTAATCTGAGTGAAAACTCATAAAAGCGCTTTAGCCTTACAACCAGGGGGCAGACTGAATTCCATGCTTTTTCTTGCAGCTGGATATCATTGGGATTTTGTATTGCCTGAAATGAAAATATTACTGTAAAGATCTGTGATAAATAAATAACAAGCAGGGGATGGTTTGGAATTTTCCTATATTATTTTAAAAAGTATTGTAAAACACAGAAGAATTCTGAGAAATTACATTGCATAGGATTCAAAAAAATACCATGTTTTCACCTTCCCTTTCCGCCTGTAACATACTATTTCAAAATAATTCATTACAGTGAACCACTGACATATAGAATTATGTTCTAGCATATTCTTTTGGGAGCAAAACTACTGTAAAAGCATCAGGTAAAACCTTTTGTGTAACTAGTGGTTGCAAAAGTAGCCTTTTTTTTTTTCAGGTTTTAATGCTTTTGAAAACTTCAACATGTTGAGGTTTTTAAGTAACCAGCACCTCTCACTAAGTGTATCTACAAATCTGATGCACGAGAAGTTTTGGTCACCTGAGAAAAATTCTAAGTTACAGTTCAGGAGTGTACTTCAGGACCAGTTTCAGAGAATAAGATGCCTCTAAAGTGGATGTGAAGTTATAATTTACTGAGGTTCATTATTCCACTTACAGAATAGAACTATGTGTATCATGTATTTCTGACACCTGAATATTACTTTTTCTATGTCCTCAAATTTGACTTCTGCCATGAGATACGTGAAACAAGGTATATGAAATGGTGTTTCTCGAAGTGAAAAATAGTAACTAATTACTAACAGAAAACCTGAAAGAAGTTCCAACAGCTATCATTTAAGGAGTTTTTCACTTCAGCTCATAGAATGTGCTTGGACAGAGAACAGAAGCAAGGAACACATCGAGTTTTGCCTGATTTTGCTTCTAAAGAACTGTCATTAACAAACATACATCTCTAATTTCTTGTCCAGCTCCTTTGTAAGCCTGAAGGTCTGCAAGCATGCTTTCTGAGTCCTGTAAAACTGCACTGATCTGGTTCCAGACCTCCCTTTCTCCATCCGTGGGCTGTGCATCTAAAAAAGAGAAAAGCAAAATGCACAAAGTCAAAAGGAAGCTGCAGTACAAATGGCAAGATTACACAGTTCTACTTAACAATACCATATGCAGCTTGAGTATGTGTAACTCCATTCTGATGTAGCTTTTTTCCAAATATACAATTATACAGCCATTCTGCTAACATCCAAGCTTCTGCTTTTTATAGCAAGGAAGGAAGAACAGTACAGTTTTTGTATGCTCTGGCTCATAATGCCTCTTCTCATAATGCAGCATTTTAAAGAGCAGCAGTATCATAAAGCAATGTTATTAGAAAATAGGATAATGCATCAGTCCCTCTCTTTCATGAGCTCCATGGCTCAATTACAAAGAATTGCTCACTTTTCTTGCAGCTTGGGGATAAAATCAGGCCTTTCAATGGATAGAGCAGTAGGATATTGCTCCACTTTGACTTCCCTCCAGGCTTCCTCAACCAGGGTAATTTATTTCTCCTTTTGTAAAACAGATACAGTACTATTAAAAATATTTTTTTCTTATGTATGTCAGGGATCATTCCTGTCACTAAAATAAATCCAGCTCTGCCAGTTTTCAGGGTGTGAGTGACCTGTAGACCTTTACTGTTGAGAGAAATGACATTTGAAATTAGATCAATTTTCCTATTCAAATCTCTTCCTATGGGATTTACACAGCAATGTGACACCAGGGAGTGATGTTATCCCCAGAACACTGACACATTAGACAAGGTAGAGATCTTCTGTCTTCTTTTGCTTTAAAACATAAAGGTGACAGGCACTGACCAAAGACTGGATGACCTACATATGGGATTGCAGTCTATATGTGAGGGAACAATGAGATCTCTACAGAGACACAACTATTTCTTCCCTTAGCTTCTTTTTAGCTTCTAAAGGTAGAATGTTAATTTTTATGAATGAAAAAAAATCACGTTGAAGTTGAATCTTAGAACTTAAAGACTATTTGTTTGAATTAAAAGCAGTGAGGTAAATTCAGTTCAAAACTCACCAATTAGGATGAGCTACTGTATTAATGTCTACATTAATAGACAAGAAATAGTAAAAACACCTATTCTATTCAGGTTGCCTCACTCTCCTTAAGAAAACTGACAGAATTTTCTACCCATGTATCAGTATGGGATTAATTTATCCAGTCCCCATTAGAAACAAATGAACTGGTTCACACTGGAGTATATGGGAAACCGGCATTCTCTCCATGATGTTTCAGGTTAGGATAATTTGTTTAAATGTATGAAGTTACCTATGGACCTTGCACAAACAGGATACAAATGTAAATTAGATTTAAATGTCTGTAGCTTCAAAGCAACTCCTACTTAAAAGCCTTCCCATATTCCTATGGTACCATGAGTTCCATGAGACTGGGCACATAATACTGATTGGACTTTCCTTTTGTTCTGGAAGTTTTCCTTTCTCTTATATAAAAAGTTAAAATAAATATAAACTGGGCTTACTTAGCTGGGTTTTATAATCAAAATATTTAATCTAAATAAAAAATTCCACTATTCTTCAAAAAGTGAGGGAAAGGAGCACCGAAGGGAAAAACTCCCCACAGGAAAATCCCATCTGGGACGTGGCTGTTGAACTGACCCATCAGTGACTTTAAATTTACAGTGTTCCAGACTGGTTCTTTCCTCAAGCTGCAAGAAATCTCAGGTACACACTGTAAGGGGTTTGCCATCTTGTGATAAAGAAGCAAAACAGAAAACTCCTCTGACTTGAACAAGGATAGTGAAACAAGAAAGCAGTGATCCTGAGAAACAGTTACACACCATACAACAACAGAGCAGGGGAAGGTGGGAGTCACATAAAAATCAGTATCTATATTTTATTAGTTAAGATAATGAAAATAATATTTCAGTGAATACTAACACAAAAGAGAATAAATAACTTGTTAGTGCAGTTCATGAATGTCAAATTTGCATGTGCAGGTAACCCGAAGCATCTTGTTTAACCTTGTTGGTTAACAAGGTACTTCTATGTTAATTTTTACAATTTATTTGTTTTAAAAGTACTAGTGCTTAAGGGGGATGCAAATGCTATAGACTGCCCAGCACTTTGGGACTTCAAAAAGGCCTTTAGTAACATCCTTTATTGTAAGTCTTTTTCAAAAGTTCCAAATCTATCTTTTGGAAGTTGGTGGAAAGAGGAATATTTGAAACTCATTGAGCTTTCTGTAGTATCCCAGCACCTGGAGAAAGAGTAGGAGCAAGAGCCAGGTAGGTGTGTGGAAGAGGGAAAGAAAGGGAAGGGAGAGGAAGAGGGGTGCAAAGGCTCCAGAGCAGCAGGCTTAGCTTGCACTTGCAGAAGCAGTTTATATTTATGTTGGAAGTGTTTAGCTTAAAAAGAAAGGTAGGGAGGATGATTCAGGCTTCTTTTTTTTAAAAAAACATGCATTTATTTATGAAATAGAAGCTATGCAAACAGATGTTCTGATAAGACCATGGCCATTTTTCAAAAGGGATTTTACAAGAAGATCCTGCCAAAAATGGTCAGCTAAAATAACTGAAATGGATCACTTTGAAAACAATTTCACCTTACTGTCAACAACAATAATAATAATAGCAGCAGCAACAACTAAAAGGAATTGAGACTTCTTCATGACATATTTTGACTTTTAGAACTGGCTTGCTATTTCAATGAAACCAAAGCTTGTTTCTCTGCTCTGAATTAAACAATGCCAGTCCTGAACCATGGTGTGGAATCACTGGTTGGCCATACTCACCTCTTATCCCCACACTGCCAGAGAACCAGCACGAGCTTCAGAAACCTGAGCCCGTTTATAAATGAAACCACCTCCACTGGCCAACCCATGTGAATGCAAACCCCCTCAGTAGCAAGTTACCATAATGGCCAGACTCACTGCATTTCAAGGCTGAGTTTTTAGAATGCTCAGGATTAGCAACCAGAGCTGTCTTTAGACAAAACAGAAAACCCTTTTACCTCCCTTTGGACAAATGTTTCTGATGTGAACCCTAAACCAAACAACTACATGAATCCTGTATCAAATTAATGCAAGAGTCAGACGAGGCCTGAATCTCACATACACAGATTCTACTAGCAAAATTTGAAAATTTTAGATCTGGAAAGAAATATACTTCCACTGGCTCCATCAGAAATAACCAGGACATGATAATTCATCCATTCCAATGAACACATGCTCTTTTTCACATTTACACATGGCCTATGCCATGTTTTGGATGGAACTTCAGATTTCACAAAGAACAAGAGGAAACCTGGACTCAATACTGTTCATTTGTGGATGGATTAAGAATTTCAAGTGAATGCTGGGGCTTGAAAGTGGGGTCATGATTATTTTCTTAGCAAAATACCTGTCATTTGTTTCAGAAAACCCTCCTAACAGTTAGTTAGGGTTAGTTATCTACCTCATCCTTCACCAAATGTGCATTAGAAACAAACAGAGAAACTTCTAGATAGGTAAAACATTAGTATTCATAGGATAAGACTAAATATAGAAAGGATGTGATGCCATTACCAATACCAAATGAAGTACAAAAATACTTCAGTAATCAATTTTAATGAAGAAAGAACAGTACTATGAAGAGTACTAACAACAGGACTACAAGAAGCACTTCCAACTCACACACCCTTTCTGAATCTGAAATGCAGAACAAAAGCTGAGAACTTTATTCCACCCTTTGGTGGTTAAGAAGATTCCTACTGAGGCTGGTTAGTTCTTCCATTTCAGTGAATGTAGAATCATATTTGTTGTAAAAATACCATGCCCTTCTGACTTCCACAGCATAGCAAAAGAAAGTGAGTAAAACAAGAGCTTTCATGGGTTCTGCTTTCAGCTTTTCTTGTCCTGCCCACTGCTGAACATGGCAAATAATTCCTCAGTCAGCAAGTTAGAGAGGAGTATACATATTTGACTGCATAATGCTAAAGTCCTATTTCAGATTTGTCACCATGACAATGATTTTTTTCCATGCCAATCTGGGACAAAATTAAAAGAAAAGCTCAGAAATGAGCAAAGGCATTACAATTACAGTGAGTAATGCACTTTTGAGGGTACCAGAACCTGCTCCACTCCATACATTAACAAATCCCCAGTATTTGTTCATGTATGGAGTGGAGCAGGTTCTGGTACCCTCAAAAGTGCTGGATAGAAACAGTACCCTATCCAGGCTACATGGGATTTTTAAATTTCATTCCATCTGAACTAGCTAGAATGAAGTGAAGCTCCCAAAATTGTTAACACTGGCTCCAGGCAGGGTGCTGTGCCAGGGAGATCAGTGCCCAGCTTCAGCTCTGTGGTGGATGGGGGATGGACACACAGCACCTCTCTGACTGAGCTGCAGTTTCTGCCTCCAGGCATTCCACAGCTCGGGAATTGAGTGCAACCTCCCACAGGCTGGACCCAGATTATATCCTCAGCCTTTCTGCCTGTGCAACAAGAGTATTAATTAATAGCCTATTATGTGAAAAGTGGGCAGTTGCTCTGCTGCCAGACACATTCTAATAATACACCCTTTTAATGGTACATGAATAATAACTGAAAATTTCATTAATCTTGCTGGGGATGTGGGGAATCCTAGAAAATAAGATTCGTGGAGGGGATGAGAGAGATTTAACTAGGCTCAAGTGAAATCCACCTAGCTAACAGTAAAAAAAAAAAAAAAAAAAAAAAAGAACAAAAGAACCTGCTCACATTAAGGTTAAAAACATCTTATAAAAAGTATTTGAGGAGAGGATGGGACTGTAGGTGTCACTTAAGGACATCTTCAAATAATCTATAAGCTTTAGTCTTTTAGATTCAAGGTAAATTGTTTCTTCAACTTTCAAATAATTTTCAAGAATTCACGTGGAATTATTTGTTTACTTTGCCTGAAAAAGGCAGCTGTGATTTGACAGTAGATTTTCTGCGAAAAAGAGCAATTTTAAGATGGTATAGGAAGAGCTCAAATACCCAGAATTAATTTATCTGCAATTAATTTAAATAAGGTCAACATTTAAAGTACAAAACAGTTCTTGAACTGACAAAACTGACAAATCCATTTCAAGAGAATTTGATGTGAAATCCTGAAAGCCACAGACTCTCAAGACTTGCCACTCTTAACACTTACCAGGCACTCTCACTTTTCCTAACACTATTTTCAAGATGAGCACCAAGAAGGAATTAAAGTAAATGATATATAACCAAACCAAGAGGTAGTAGCTTGATTAAAAATACTCCCATCAAGATCCAAGTGTAAAAAGCAAAATGGTGCACTTTCTAATAAGGATGAAGTTATTTTTCTCTATTTAAACCTTTCAGTAGACCTTAAAAAAGAGTAATTTGGCTGAATGCATTAAGTCTGCAATACCCCTTTAAGAAAAGACCTTTCTACCTACATGGAGAATGTTATTCTCCACACAGACCCAGCATAACTGCCCAACTTTAAAATGAGTACTGGGGAGCAAAAAGAACTGCTTTTGCTATACAACATTAAGTGAAATTAATGCTGGATTCAAGTTTTTTCAAGTATGACCATGGAGTTGCAAAACTTGATTTCCAGTTTGGATTGAAGAATAATGTTAGGTGTCAAAAAGAATTGCAAGTGGACAATGTGGACACCTCCATGAAAGTAGGGGAAAAGAGATGATGAAAAACTTTTTTTTTCTTTTTTTCTGTTTTTTTTTTAGTAGCCAGCTAATGAAAAAGCCCACAGAAACTAAAAAGCAAGATGCTGATGCAAAAAATGAATACAGTAAACACATCAGCTCAGCACACCTGTCATCCTCTGAATGGCCAAGTGTAGTGACCATGTTCACCCATGAACTCAAACTGACAGCTCAGGCCACACAAAGCCACATGTCCAGCAAGGCCACACCAGACTCTGACCCATGTCTACTCAGAGTGTCCTTTCCTACTGTACAATAGCCAGTTACAGGAGACCAAAGCACAAAACCACAGCCCTTTTTTAGTCACATCCCTTTGAGGCAATACAGATTTTGTGCCACTAAAAACCCCTGGGACTTACAAGCATGAATTTCTCTGAAATTTGGAGATGACAGTTTTGGTCCTCCAGGTAGGTGTGCCTGACTAGTGTGCCCTAACCACTGGCACCTCCTGTGGGAGAGGGTACTTCATTCAGTTCTTGGCCACGTGCTTTTGGAACGAAAAACAACCTTCACTGCCAAGGCAACAAATTTGGTATTTCCCCTCTCACCACCACCTCTACCAAGGCTCCCCACTGCCAGAGCAGCTGTTTCCTGCCAAGCCTGCAGCCTGGGTCAGGAACACTTTCCTGCCAACAAGGACACAATGGGGCTGATTAAACCTGTAAGCTCAGAGCAGCTGAAAGCTTTCACAACAGCTTGGCAAAGCCACAGAGCACTGCCAAGGCCCTCAAAAGTTTGGTAGAAAAAAATTAAGTGGTGGTTTGGATAGAGGTTTGACATCCTGGGGTGACAGCAAAGTTTTCAAATTATATACACAGAGAAGAAGGGATAGGGCTCCTCCTAAACCCAAACTAACCAATTAACCTTTTTTTCATATTTTAAAACTAATTTTTCATAATGAGGTAATTAAGCTCTAGATGCGAAGATTAAGGTTTGTGCACAGTTCTAGTCATACATTCTAGCTCTCTTCTAATAATGCATGTTTGAACAATTTCATCAGATTTAAATATGTATTTAAATGACTTTTTGAAGTAGTGCTTCTGCACACAGACATACATGCTTATAACATGCCAGTTACTTCTTTCAGAAAATAATTCAGGAATAAATTATTAAAGAACAAAACTATTTCAAGATGACAAAATATGTGTCTAATCACCTGAAATGCTCTTTTAAACCATGCTACAAAAGGAAAATATTTTAAAACCACTAGATTTTCTCAAAACTTTTTGGTTGGCTTATTTTTTTTTTCTTTTTAGAACAGAGGTATTAAGAGAGAAAACGTCACACACTGTTTCTGTTTCAAATAAAATACATTTCATGTATGTGGTGAAGACAGATTTAACCCATATTAAAGGATTTGGTGACAGTGTCTAGAAGTAGATGCAGGGAAACTGTAGTCAGCAAAAGTGAAAACAGCTTTGGATCAAATATAGATGTGACAAGAGAACTGGAATGGGAAACACTGTTCTGCAACTGATAACCATGCCTGATAACTGATAATCATTTAGAGAGATGCAATCAAGCACACACACTTTGACCATTTCACTACTTTTTAGAAACTATAAACCCAGCTAAATCATCACTGAACCAAGCAAAAATAGTTCCACCTCCACTGCTTTTTTTTCCAGCTTTTTATTTCCACATGTATTTCCATTCAAGAAAGAATCATAATTTTTTAACCCTGATTTGTTAAAGAAAGCTGAGGTTGAGTTCATTCATATGCAAGTTTAACAACGGCTCATAAATGTTTTGAATTTAATTCAAGATAGGGTTTTACTCTCATATCTGCCTCTCTGCCCTTTTCTCTGCTCAGAATGAAGTAATTTTGTATGGTTTTATAAATATCAGAAAGTAATATTCCACTGAAGTGTAATTTGATTTGTTTGCAAATCCCTTTTGAATTGCTTTATGATGCATAAGCACATGCAGTTTATTAGGAAATAATAAGCAAAGAAGGCAAGCCAGGCAAGAAGCTTTGCTCACTTTCAAAGTCAAGGAAAAAATTTGGCCCCTGATCAAGCTCTGTGCAAGTGAGAACTTTTAAAAGATTTCCCATTTGGTTCCTGAAAAATAGAAAAGGAAGAGAAAAGGAGTCCTGAGTGAACAAATTATTTTAGAGACAAGGACTTGGACAGATTGGTTGTGCTGGAAAATACACACTGTAAGCAATCAGATTTTAAGTTTTTCCTCAGTTTGCTGCTAAGTCAAGGAAAAAATTTTCTCATTGTCTTGTAATTGTTTGAACTTACTTTCAAAATCCAGGAAAAAATGTGGATAGTTTTCAATTTCCCTGGTAAGGACCTTAAGAAGATTACCCATCCCAGCAAACCTAGTAAATGCAACAAAATCATAAACAGTTATACATGTAAACTCAGAATACTACAGCTAAGAGCTTGACACAGTCTGCATCATAAATTCAACATTTTGGCAAGTTCTGGACCATGAGAAACATTTTGATGGTCAATTCTGTGATATTTATGTAGGAAGAGGAAGACCTCAGATAAACACAGAAATAATTCTGTTCAACAAATTGGAATTTAAACATCAGGATAACATCCTAGTGTATAAACAGATATTTATGAATTTATTTACTTAGCAAGAGAAATAAACTCAGAGCTATATCTCTATTTGTTAATTCACTAAATTGCTGGACTCCAGATTACTTAATACCATTTCAAATTAAAAACTGACATCTTAACACTTGTCTTAGATCTTCAGCAAAAATCCATGTCATTTTAAGAAAATAACTCACTATAAGGAAAAAAAATCTAGTTGTTTCTAGTCAGTAAGATTTATAACAAGATTACTACAAAAATCTATCAAAAAGGACAGCTAAAAAGCTTTTTAGCTTTTAAAAGTGTATGTATGCATTTTAAAAAAAGAAAGAGAGTAAAAATGGGAGGTTTGAACCCTATTTTTTATCTGTTATTCCTATATTTTATCATCTTGGAATTCTTTGCATTTCAAGTTATGAACAACTTCCAAAAGGAAAAGTGACCAGTTCTTAAAAAAGCAAGTCTCCCAGAAGATAAAAAGGAAAAAGATTTGAAAAAAGGTTCTTTTGCCAGTACAGTCTTTAGGAAGGTAAGTTATTCTAACACCGTGTAGAAGAAGAACTTTCTTGGTCAAACTTAAACTTTCTCTCAGAAGACAGAAAAATTAAACCATGAAAAGCACGTATCAGGATAAAGACATCTGCCTGGAGGGATGTAGAGAAATGTAATTTTAGATTTAAAACACAGATTGAAAACTGGTTTTTGCCTCAAAGAGAAATATTCTCATTGCTTTAAACCACGGCTCTTGGGGATCACATCTGATGTTCATCTGTGATTCAGTTTAACTCTTTTCCCACTTAAGAAATCAGACCACAAAAAATTATTCTAAGCATGTACATGGCTGATACTCCACATAAGGAGACAAAGCTTTTTTCAAGTTTTCCCACAAGCATTACAGTAGGAAAAGAATCATCAACCCCAATTTCTATGTGCATATAAAGGATGTATTTCTACATCAGTAAAACCTAGGAAAGTAATGTGAGGCTTGGAGATTTCAAAGCAGCCACAGTCATAACATAAAATGATACAAATTTAATCAATAGTCTGTTCAGAACATGCAGTTTCATGTAGGCAAGGCTTTTGTTAAATAAATGGCTTTGTTTTGCATTAAATACTTCTTCAAAGTTTTCTCTCCAGAACAAATCCAGTGAGCAGACTGTCAAGCCCTTCGTAATTAGCAACATCTTGCATATACAAAATTGAAACACAAAGAAACATTTTCCATTATTCATAAAGTTACATTCATTACATGCAGGAAAAATATTTACACTTTTACTTTCAGAACAAAATCATCACCTTATACACTGAGTTTGACTTTCTGATTAGCCTACAAAGGAGAAAAACATGCAAACAGAGCAAAATAGATTTTATACAGTGTTAAAACTTATATCTTCAATAATTTAATACTTTCATCACACTGGTATAGTACATTTTATCAGCATCAGCTAGGAGAAACACGATAAAGTACACACATTTATTTTCCTTTTCATAACCTTGAAAAAAAATATTATATTATGTAATACTATCACAATCGACACGACTGACTCAGCTTGGATTCTTCACTTTCAACTCTTTTAAAGCCATAACTTACCTCATCGCCTTCAATCTTCAGAGAGTACCCAAGCATTTCTTCTGCTGCCAAAGCTTGCACTGCATCCAGAACTGGTTTAGCTGATAGCATGCTTCGAACAGCGAGGAACCCTTTGTGCCAAAAACCTGAGGATACGCTCCCTCATTTGCATTGAGTCGCTTGGGGTCATGTGCCCAAGCTCTGCCTCTGATCCTTCTTAAACAAGTACAGCACATCTCGGCTTGGGAGATTTCTGAGTGTTTTTCCAGAACTTTTGGTACATTTCCTAGCTTGTTTTTCACTTTATTCCCTCTCCTTCAATCCCTGTGTGGAAACTGATCCAGCTATTCAGGTCACAAGTATGGAACAGAAGCCTAGCACAAACTTATTATACACACACATGTTCATGCAGGTGACATTTTCCAATGATCCTGGAGGCTCTGGTTTGACACTACCCATTTTCAAAGCACACCAACCCCAAAAATAGTCATATTCAACATCAACATCCAGAAAAATATGGTTGAGGCAGCTGCTAAACATGTTTTAATTATTTTTTATAAAATTTCTTAATGGTTTCCTAAAAAACAAAACTAAAAGCAACATCTGGTTCCATGAAACTTTCCCTTTCAAGTGTAATTCCTCATTCAACACTAAATTTTAGCTTCAAATTAAAAGGCAAAACTTAAAGGAAGTGCTAATAAAATGCAAATCTTTGCCTCAAACTGTATTATTTTATTCTGCATAGCCTGCTGCTTCCCAGTACTTGGCTCTTTCAAACTGTCTTTCCTCAAAAACTCTAATAACATATTCCAAACCTCAGGAACTGAAAGTCACCTCCAGGATAATTTTAATGAGATTTCAAAGTAACTAACAGCACACATTCTGAGCAGGTCTATATATATATCCTGTGATTGCAAGAGAAATGCAAATAACAGCTGATGTACAGAAGCAAATCATAAAGGTTTAACATAGGAGCATAAAACTCTATTTCATTAAACCGGAAAACATTTTATTTTACTTACTGTAAAATCAGTTTAAATGTTGAACTGAGACTCAATGCATACGTAAAAATATTGCTGATGCTGCACTACTAGATGCTAGCAGCTTCTCTTTAGTGTTTTAATCCCTTAAAATTCCAACTTGTAACTATGCTTTAAAAACTATGACATGTTGACAACGTCTGCATTTTTCCCTATTGTTTTCCAAACCATTAAAGCTTACCCTAAGATATTATGTAAGCATAAAGAAAATAGTTTTTAAGCTATTGTTGACATTTTAAAGCTCATTGCTTAATTTTTGATGCTCAACATTTAATTAGTAGCACAGAGACATAAATAAACCATAACCCAGCAATGAACAGGAAGGTACATTTAGCATTTTGCATTTTATTTACCATTATCCAATAGCAGGTTTTAAACTTGAGCTTTGAACAAAATATCACAGGCTGGTTTTGCAACAAATAACCGTGTTCCTAAAATTCTACTGATTTAGTTTCAACATTCTAGAGGTACTACCTTGTATGGGAAAATAAATTCCTTCTACCCCACTAAAGAAATCAGTTTATTTCTGAATTGTGATATATAAAATAGTACCCCCCCAAAAAAAAATCAGAATTCAACCCCACAAATCTGCCATGGATTTTACATACATATACTGAAAGTATACTGAAATATATCTATTATATGCTTAAATCCACTTTCAAAAATATAGTAAGTGTTCTCAAACTGCATATTACTAACTGAAGACTGAATATCGTGTTATTCAACACTTCTTGAAAATTTTGGTTTTACACACTGTTTTAAGCAACTACCCAATTCTCAAGTGTGGAGTTTTGCACCCCTCTCAAGTCACAGCTTCAGTACTATACAAACTGCTGGAGAAGTACTGATCGATTTCTTCTCTTACAGGACTAATTTAATCAGTACCATTTCAACACCAGCAGCAGCACTGCAGTACACTGAAGATGTAACAAAGAGACAAAGCTTTAAAACTCTGTGTTAGTGAAAAAGGACACATTCACCAGCTCAAGCCTTTGCAGCGCATCAGTGCTCCTTTGCCAGATAATATTTCCTAAATCTGTCTGCTCAGATAAACATGGTCTGAAAGGCTTTTGTCAAAATGAGCTGGATCAGCAAATACCTACTGCTTAACCCCATTTAGAACATCCTAACGAAAGCAGGGCTTGTGCATGTTTTCATGAGCAGCTCCACTGGGAGTTTCAGGAGAAAGGTTCCCAAGCTCAGGAGTGGCAATGGATGATTCAGAATGATGACTTCTAGTGGCACACCTAAGTGGGCAAAGACAGGAGGCATCCAGTCCACAGTCTGAGGGAAATGTACTAAGCACATCAGCATCATTAAGATACTGGAACTGACCTTACTGCATGAATAATTAATCGTGGCTTCAAAAATATACCAGAATCTGAACAAACTCAAGACTTCTCAGATCAAAAGCATGATTCCAAATCACTGTGATATTCACTCATACAGTTTTCGAAGTGCTTGTAAGGAAACAGCAGAAGTGCAAAATTAAAAAAAATTATCTTGGGGAAACTGGCTGCTAATGGCCTGGACAGGTACACAGGGTAAAAAACAGTGGTGGTGAATGGAGTTAGATCCAAATGGTGGCTAGACACCAATGGTGTTCCACAGGGCTCAGTACTGGGGCCAGTCCCAGTTAATATATTTACATGGGATCTGGACAAGGGGACTTGTAGTCATGAGGCCACACCTCAAGTGCTGTGTCCAGTTCTGAACCCTCACTACAAGAAAGGCATTGAGCGTGTCCAGAGAAGGACAGGAAGCTGGGGAAGGGTCTGGGCACAAGTCTGATGAGGAGCAGCTGGGGGAGCTGGGGGTGTTTGCCTGAAGAAGAGGAGCCTCAGGGGAGACCTTAACACTCTGAAAAATCACCTGAAAGGTGGCTGGAGCCAGGTGGGGTTTGGTCTCTTCTCCCAGGCAACTGGCGTTAGGATGCGAGGACATGGCCTCGAGGTGCATCAGTGGAGGCCCAGGTTGGATACCAGGAAGGATTTCTTCACGGAAAGAGTGGTTAAACACAGGAACAGACTGGCCAGGGAGGTGGTGGAGTCACCACTCCAAAAGTGCTCAAGAAACAGCTGGACATTGCACTTGGCTCTAGCTGCCATGATGGTGTCAATAAGAGGTTGGACTCAATAATCTTGGAGCTCTTTTCCGACCTCAA